TCTTCTATTTATTTCATAGTGTTTAGCTGTTCTCTTTCTTAAAATACAAGTCAAACCCAATGAAACTGATTGTTACTGAAATGTCTTTGTAGTTCTTTTTCAATATAAAACAATTTCAGTAATGCCTCCCAACCCCCCCACCCCCCAAGTAAACAAAGCACAGAATATTCAAACTCCCTTGTCCTGCCCTTATTTTTTTAAATAAAAATGCGTACTTTATGTTACCACAGTGAAAAGCTTCCATCTTTTGAAGTTTTAGCTTTAATAATAATAATAATCCTTTCATTTGATATAGCGCTTTTCACGTCTTCTCGACGTCTCAAAGCACTTCATAGAATATACTGTAAAGTGAGTTGACTGTATATTTGTGGGCGAAACTTGGCAGCCAATTGCGCACAGCAGTGTCCCACAACCAGTCGTGGATTGAAGTAACCAATTTTAATATTGTTTTTTTCATGAGGGATTATTGTTAGGCGTGTGGAGTAAGGTAACTTGTCCAAGGTTTGGCCCTGCCGGGAATCGAATCCAGGTCTCTCGCTTGCGAGGCGAGTGCTCTAACCACTGAGCTGCAGGATTTTGTAAATACACACACATTGCTATTTAAACATCTTGCCCAATCTTCGCACCCCTTTACATGTGCCTAGCACTTGTGAAATGCTTAGATCTTCTGGAAAAAGTAGCTACATTGTTTATAAGGAACAAAACTGTCCAAAATAGTTTTGTAAGTACAACCCTCCCCTATGCTGTATTGTTGTCTGCCTTTTGTTAATGATTACATAAAAATTTAACTGGAGAGGGTGGTTGAATATTTAGATTTTGCCAAAGTCATAGCTTCGTCCGATTGTTTTCATACACTGGACTCAGATTTAGTTATTCATTCGTGGCTAAACTATGAACAGACATTTGAACATAATGATCCTTGCATTTAAATTTAATTTCAAATCAGGAAGACACCTCAAAGTGCTTCACAGGATATACTGTAAAGCATACTGATGGGTATTTTGTAGGCAAACCAGTGGATCTACTGTTATTTCAAATATGGAGCTTATACACCCCGAATAGATTTACGTTGATGGTACAGCATGGAAATGTCTCATTTGGCCCAGTCAGTCTGTGCTGGTGTTTATATTCCACGTGAGTCTCCACCCGTTCCTTACTTTTTCCCATACCCTTCTATTCCCCTCTCCTTCACGCGTACATCTTGCTTTCTCATCAATGATCTATATATTTGCTTCAACCACTGCTCCAGGGTTCCACAGCCTCACTGCTCTATGCATGAAGTAGTTCCTTCTAAATTCTCTTTAGGATCCCCTAGTCACTATCTTATGTCTATGTACTTTGGTTACAGACTCCCCAACAAGTGGGAGCAGCGTATTTAATAATAATCCTTGCATCTGAGTTAGCGCCTCACGTCGTTGAGATGTCTCAAAACGCTTCACTGAAAATGCTGTAAAGTGGTTGACTGTAGGCTATTTAGGCTAACCTTACATAATTTTAGAATTTTAAACACTTCTATTGGGTCCCCTCTTAAAATTTGCTTCTGTATTGAAAACACAGCCTAACCTATCCAGTCTATCACGATAGACTTATGCTCTCATGTAGATACGTCCAGTTTAAATAGCACAATCCAAAATAGTAGTGGCTTATAAGTGGGGACAGGGACATTGTTGGCTCCATCAGCAGGTTTTGTCAAACTAGGCTCGCTCTGTACTTTTGCAGGATGACATAAACCACAGCAGTTGCTTTTTCAGAGGCCTCCAGCAAATATCAGCTGCTTTCATTGTGGTTTGGCCTTAATTAAGACCAGCTACTTGCAGGCACAATGAAATAGGAGTGAAATGGGCCATTTGTGCCTTCATTAAGGGGATTGGAAACCAGGTGATGTTTCTTAAAACATGGCAACACCCCTTCAACAATGCTGTAACAAAAATCTGCCAAAAGTGAGATAATGTATGCTGGCGTAGACCTGTGTTGAGTGACCACTTGAGCAAACAGACAAGTAGAATGTGGGTACAAAGCAGAGAATGACTTTGGCCCACCAGAGATTGCTTTCACACTTTTATTTCTTCCTGTGTTTTGGGATTTTCTTTCCCTTCTCCACCCTTGCATGCTAATACTGTGAGAACTGGTGGCTGCCAAAGGTGAGAACGGCCTGGGGTGACTTACCTTTCAAATTTCCTTCTCTCCTTCCTTAATGGAGGAAACGATTCCTTCTTCCTACAACAATAAATTACCAAAGGAAGACGTTTTAAAGTGCTTGTCTCTTGACTCGCAAGTACAAACCCACATTCTCTTTCACCTTCTCGTGTGTGATCACTGGTGAGCTAGACAGAACAACAACAACAAGATTCCATTTATAGCGCGCCTTTCACGTCGAGAGGACGTCCCAAGGCGCTGTACAGTTGGGTGAGGACCCGAGCAAGGGGGAAATGGTCAGGGTGAGGGGAGGGAAGGGAGGGAGCGAGGAGGGGGTAGAGAGTCGAGAGGGGAGCTGAAGGCACGGTCAAAGAGAAAGGTCTTGAGACCGGCCTTGAAGGAGGAAAGGGAGGAGGCGGCGAAGGCACTGGGGGATAGAGTTCCAGAGCCAAACATTGTCTAACACTGCGAATAATGGTCGCCTCTGTGAAGAACTGTTCAGATTAAAATTGGTTGCTACGTGGCTGCTTGTAGGACATGGCTTTGTGCAGATTGGCTGCTGCAATTGTGTGCAAAATATACAGTCCCTACAATTCACAGCATACCTTATGAAGTGCTTTGAGATGTCTTCCTGACGTGAAAGGCCCTACTTCGAATGCAAGGATTATTATTATAATGCATTTTATGATCAAGTTATATGAGGTGTAATCAAGAAAACAAATCCTCCTGGAACTTGATTCAGCATGGATTGAAGTCACTTTTTGAAATAACATAAGCTGTTTCTTATGTAGGTACATAATTAATTTTAACTATCTCCCCACATGTGGGATTAGCTATCACCTGCAACCAAAAACTGGCAAACCAAAGCTGCTGCAGGATTTGTCTTTTGTGTCCCTTCTTCTCAATAGCAAGGAGTTGCTCCAGGTGTTCGGATAATTTGGTCATTCACTTTCATGGCTGTTTGTGGGATCTGCCGTGCACAAACTGGATGCCACTTTTGCCAATAATCAGTCACTGGACTTCAAAGCAATTGCGTGCGAGGCATTTTGAGATATTTTCAAGTGTTAGGCGCTATATCAATTTTAAGGACTGCTTAGTATTCTTGGCTTTTCCATGAGCTTTAACCATAGCTTACCATCCTGGGTACCGAGGTCAGTTTGGGTTGTGGAATCCAGTCCCAGTAGATTCGCTCTTCTCTTCCTCTTTTTGAGGTTGATGAATTTAATTGTTTTTTAGACACTAACTTAATATGTTAGTTAAGTTTGCATTTTAATTGTTAGTGTTGTTAAAGCATGCTATGCTGGACCAGTAATATGTGCACTGCTGTCATAAAAAATAACTAGTTAGAACTTGCTGTTATTTTGGAAAAAATGAACACACAGTTTTACATTGCACAGGATATGAGTAATAATCAAAATGAAACTTTTGGAAACTTTCTGTGGGTTTTGAGCTTGCATTTTGGGACTCTATGTAAACCATTAAAGCCAGCTGTTCGCTGTAACATTTCCCCAGTCTTGCACAGGTGTTGATTTTGAAAGCATGAATAGCTGTGCTTTCCGTCTGCACACAGTAAATCTCATGAATCAGAAGTGGGACTTCTTTGGTACCAAACAGAGCAGCTTGGTCAAAAGCAACGTACAGAATTTTAAGTCAAGGCAGTGGAACACAATTCCATTTCTAGAGTTAATTTTTGTGTGTATGTAGTGGGGGAAAGAATGGAGAGATCTCTCAATCCTTCTACCTTCTGAATTTACATTGGAGTCTGTCCAGGCTTTGTTTTAATGAGAAGCTTGATCTCCTGGTTACATTGAGGTTTATTTTCCCCTGGAGCATAGATTTGACCTAATTTTTACAGACCTAATCCTGCAGAACATGCAGATGTTTTGCCATGTTATCCATTCTGTATTACTTCATGAATCTGCATGTGGCGTGTTAAACATTTCAAAGTGAGGGTATTGACAAACTTAATTCAACAATGTAATAGGCTTTTAAAAAAAATAGTAACAAATTCTCATCTTCAGGTGGTTTTCAAACCCGTGCTGTTTCCTGCAGGTGCTCCATAAAAAGGAAAGTTTTCTTCATGATATTTACAATCAGATTTTAAACAAAGGTTTCACATCTTCATTCTCTTTCAAACAAACCGGCATGTTAATGGCATTCAAATTAGCCCAGCAAATTCACTGATATTGAATGCCAACAATTTGGTAGTTGTCTGTTCCATTACAAACTTTGCTGTTCAACATTTATTACATACAGGCAGAGTAAAAAGGCACCACCTCTGATGACTTTACAAACCACAACATTTCACATGGCAAACCCATAGATGTGGCTTTACTTTGCTGCAAGAGACGACAATGATGTGTTAACCGAAAATAGTGACTTGAGTTACAACCACCGGATTGGTTCAGTAGCAAAGCCAAAATGCAGTGTCCATTGTGGTTGCTGCCCACCTCAACAAACCATTCACAAGTTGACCCCGCTATAACTCGCTCTGTTTCCTTAAGAGTACATGTACTGAGACGCTTCTCCCTTCTCTTGTCGAACTGGGCCATGGGATCCTTAACGTCTGCTTGAACAGCAGACGGGAACTTGGTTTCATATTTCATCAGAAGGACGGCACCTCCCAACAATGCATCTTCGCCACCCCCCACCAGCAATGCATTAGAGCGTCATGTTAGATTTGTGAGTTCAAGTCCCGAAGTGGGGCTTGAACCCACGACCTTCTGACTGAGAGGCGAGAGTGATCCATCCCACTGAGCCAGGCTGTGTCACTATTACTTATTTTGTTGCCTTTAGACAAAAATAAAGGGGAAATCTCATTTATTTCCAACAACCTAAATGTGCATTTTTTTCTGGTTCTGTAGGCTGAAGCGATCATTTGTCCCTACAACCGAGTGTATATTTGAATTGCCCACTCTGACACTACAAGCCACAAGAGCACAGACACTGCTCCTGCAAGCCATTCTACAGAGCTGGACACACAATATGGGAGCAGGAGCATCAATCCCAGTGGATGAAGCCTTACTCAATGAAATCTTCAAACCTTCAGGTATTTTAAAGTTCTACTTCTGAACAGTTTCTTAACCTCTTACAGTCAAAGTACAAAACTTAAAATAAAGTTTATCATTTTTTAGGTGTGGCATTTATATAGCGCCTTTCACATTGGGAGGATCTCCGAAGGCGCTGGACAGTCAAGGGGTTGCACTCGAGATGAGGGTGGGATTCGAGAGGGGTATAGGGGCCAAGGGCACGGGGGTGGGAAGATGATCTGAGGCATGGTCAAAGTGGAAGGTCTTGAGACAAACCTTGAAACAGGAAGAGGATGAGGCAAACGGACTCAGGATGCAACTCCAGAGAGTGGGGGTTGAAAGGTTGAACGCTCAACTGCTGATAGTAGAGTGGGCAGAGCGGGGGATGTGAAGCAGGCCAGTGCCTTCTGAACTGAGGAGTGGGCGGGTTGATAAGCTTTTAGAAAGCCACAGATGTAGTGTGGAGCAAGACCGTGGAGGGTTTTACATTATGGCTTCAAAGCCAGATGGTCATGAGATAGGTTCATAAGATTTGTCACATCTCCTGCCATGATTACAGTTGATGGATGGGTGGCTACAGCACAGCGCATCTCTGGGAGCAGGAACACTTGTGCAAAGATGCCTCTTTCTTCATGATCGCAGAGACCAACAACAACTTGTGCTTTGCTGCCTATTACTTAGTCACTCAAGACGTTCACACTTATGCTATAGAGCCTTTCACTTCGGATGAGTGACTCAAAGTGCTGACTGAGAATCACGGAGCGGGGGATGGGGGAGAAATTTGAGGTTGCTGACCAAATGCACGGTCAAAGGTAACAATTTAAGTGGGTTTTGAAAGCAGAGAGAGACGCTGTGGGGCAAAAGGATTTTGGGAGCGAGTTTTTGAGAATGGGAATTTTGTGGTTGAAGGCTCAGTCAATGGTGGGGTGAAGAGTGGAGGATGAGCAGTAAATTATATTTGGGGGAGCGAGGATATGGGCTGATTTTGCTCGTGGAGATACTACGGATATATGCTTGAAATTCTACGGCTCCATTCAGTTGCTGGCGAAGGCTGCATAACGAACCTGTGTTGCTGGTGGGTGGGGGTGGTGAGGAGTGACTCTGATTTTAATTATTTGGTCTTTAGCTTTTTGGAGTCGACTCTTCCCCAGCAAATGAGTAGCTTTACAAAAATAATCAAACAAAGCTAAAAATGCATGCCAATTTTTTTTTAAGTACTACAGCTACTGCTAGTTTATGTACCATTTATGTAGGACACCTCAGTACTTGAATAATAAATTATAGCTTGTAAAAAGAAAATTGCTGTATAGAACAGTAGCTTTCCCCCTGGTGAGTTGCATCTGGTACAGTCCCCCGAGGAGCCAGTATTTTCCAACTCATTAGGAACATGTCGTTCTTTATGTCATCAACATAAGCTTAGCCAAACTACCGTTACTTACACATTGCTGCGGTACTAAATGTGTCGTCTCTTGTGGAGTCAAGTCAGATAATCCTTTCAGTTTTATTTTCTCTTGAAAGCTCAACAGATTCCAACTTCTGAATTGCCCCAAATTATATCAAGGATGCGTTCAAGAGCTGATAATGAATCATCCTTCTCTGTGAGAGTCTGGAGATGATGAAACTGTTTTGTAATAGAGTACAGACAAATTTCAATTTTGAATGCACCAATAAGCTGTGTAGCACAGGAACAATTATCTGAATGACTGTGGAGTTAGAAGAGTTTAATTTTTTTAATGGTTCTTGAGTCTGCATTGTTGTAATTTTATGAGTGTCAATTAAACCAGTCATATGCAAACAGCGATGTCGGAAGCAGATTGCTGAAAAAGGGGACTGTGTGCTATCGTCACACACATACACACACAAGAATTTTTTTTAGTTCTTTATAATAATAATATAATAATCCTTGCATTTGATATAGCGCTTTTCATATCTTCCCGACGTCTCAAAGCGCTTCACAGAATATTCTGTAAAGTGAATTGACTATATTTATGGGGAAAACGCGGCAGCCAATTGTGCACAACAGTGTTCTTTCCACATCTATAGTCGCCATGTGATTTGCTTTTAAAATCATATATTTCATGATATTGTACTCAGAGTCGTGTAACATTCAGATCAGCAGTCAAACAGCCCATGATGATCCATCTAGTCTGACTTCCGCTATCCTAGTAGTCGCATGCAACAATAATGGAGATATTGATTCCAATTAATTCTGTTTGGATTTCTCTACTATCACATGGGAAAGCTTTGGGAATCATAGATCCAAAGTTGCCTAGGTGTTCCAAGCATACGACACTTGTCTTGTCTCAAATTACTCTTATCCTGTATCCCAAAATATTATTTTCTAAAAGAAATCTTATCTAATTTGCACTTGAATGACGCTTCCACCGTCTTTTGAAGCATATTTTTGAAGCATCTTTAATTGCAAGTAGTCGAATGTTTATCACACCTATTCGTATGCAACAATAATATTTTGACCTTTCTGATCCAATTTCAATATTCCATGCAGTTGTCTTTGTGTTAAAAAAAATACAGATTTTAACATTAAAATTGAATGATGAAGGCACAAAGTGAACACTTTTGTGGCACATTCATATTGCACGTTTGACAGCTATGATTTTGGTACATTTTGCAGTTAAACATGCAGACAGAGCCCAGGCAGCACCAATTATGCCCCTCCTGATACCACCTTAAGAAGGTGGTATTTAATGCGATTTGTAGAGTGCTAAATGCCAAAATCAATTTTTAAGTCCTGATTTTTGAAGTGTTGTGAAAACAAGAAGGATAAATCTGTCTCCTACTCTGGGAGTGGAGTAGCTTTGCTCCCCCGGTAGTTTGAACATTTTGCATTTGTTACATAAATACTTAAGGCATCCAGAGAAATTCACTGCTCAACTAATAGTGCTTTCATTTTTATTTGGTCAAATGATTTGTTTCATCATCGTGCTTAATAATATCCGATCCAAACCTCTAAACATTGGACTCTTGTATTGGTTGTCTAGTATGGCGTGCATACTCACCTGCATTTCTGATATTTCATTATAATTGTTGCATTCAATAAAGCGCCTTATCATGCCATCAAGAGATCTCAAAGTGTTTAACAGAATATACTGTAAAGTTAATTGACTGTACATATTGTGGGCAAAACGTGGCAGCCAATGTCCCACAAACAGTCGTGGTGTGAGTGACAAAATTTTTTTTTGAATGGATTATTACCCCCAGAAAGCGATCTGCCAATCGACTAACAATTGGTTTCCTACTTACTGCAAGGCAAACAGAGGCGGGTAGAGTAAGGAAACTTACCTCAGGAGTGTTCTCATTGCCAGAACTCTTGTAACTACCTCAACTCCAAATAGACTCCACTTACCTCCTTTTCCTTCCTCTTCCCCTTGCGCCTCCCTCTACTCCTCCACCTGCCCACCGAGGCTAGTCATTAGACACCCAATGAGCACACCTGACGAAGGTGACAGGAACTCCTTGTGAACATCACAATCCAGTATAAATTGTATGAGAGTTGTATGAGCCAGAATCCTACTGTCCACAATATTCATGTTACGGCTGAAGCAGATTGATTCATGGTGATTACAAACGCAAGTGATGACTAGCAACATTCGAACAACTAATATTTGTTGCATTTCCCGACATGAAAGGTGCTATACAATGTAAATTTGTATTGTATTCTTTCAGCAGAGTGCAATGGTGTGCAGAGTGCATCAAGGTGGTTTGCATGAAGGAGGGGGGTGGGAAAGTATTAAGTTATGGCAGCTCTTGTATGTTTCTACTCTCCTTTCTGCATTATCACTTCATACCTTCATTTCCCAAGTGTTCATAATCTCTCTCTTGATCGCCACAGTTAAGTCTCTTTAGACCACTCTTGTGCATGGTGAAGCAGTTGAACAAGATAGACTAACAAAGACCCAGGAGCAGATAATTTACTCTTGTCTGTGTAAGTGGTGGAAATTATGCTATCATTCCCTAAACTTTTTTCTCCTTCGCCCTTGAGGGAAAAAAATCTCTGCCACCATCTAGTGATGTAGACAAGAACTAGCAAAAGCAGATCCTGGAGGTATATTGAGTCGAAATAAGTTCAATAAGCTCGTATTTTAACTGGGAGTTTGTGAATGAAATTCCAGTGCTGTGTTGCACTGCTGGAGATTTGGTACTGCAGAAAAGCTGTTGTATGTTTGACTCGGTTTCCCCTATTCAATTGTATCAATCTCACAAAATCCAGTCAGTCCACTTTACAATATACTTTGTGAAGCGCTCTGAGACATCTCAGCGACGTGATAAGGCCCTATATCAAGGATTATTATTGACACAAGTCAACTAGCAAAATTGCGACTTATCACAGAGGGACTGGAGTTATTGTTTGTAGACTCGAGAGAAATTGAGATAGCCACTATTTATTTAAATCTAAAATTTAATGATCCACTACTTAGAGGGTTAGTGTGTTATAATAATACTGTGGTTCAATTACAAATGTGAATACTTTCTGGGTCAAAGTGCATTCAGTGGGATCTGAATTTTGCCAAACAAAATATTTGTTCGGGCAATAATCATTAACACTGCACGCAATTATGGTATCGCAGTGCGACAGATGTTACATGAAAATTCTGCCCAGAATATCTGAAGCACATTTATTCATGGTGACTTCATGCACAAGTGATGTCAAGGAACATTGGAAAAACTATTTTTTTTTGAAAACATTTGAATCAATTTAAGAGAACATTCAAACGAGCACCAATGAAATTCCAGTGCTGTGTTGCACTGCTGGAGATTTGGTACTGCAGAAAAGCTGTTGTATGTTTGACTCGGTTTCCCCTATTCACCAATGGATGAGAGACTTGTAGTTGAAAACAGGTTAGAGCCATTTTTGTGTTTCTGTCAGTACTACTGTAGCATTGAAAGTTTCTCATCAGTATAAAAAATCTTCACCGTTGAGCTTGTGCTTTGTTGGAACATCAACAGCTGACACTGGTGTCCTTATTACTTTAAGTAGTCTCGTAATATTTTGTTTTGGTTG